CAAAACGAAGCTTCTCTGACCAAGGTTGAGAGCAGCACTAATAGGAATAAACATAAACATTTAGAAAGCAGTTTGACAACATGACCATGCAGCAAAATAACAGTAGTAGGTTCTCCACTAGGGTTACAGCCTCTCCAGACATAGGCTTTTGACCAAGTTTACAGTACCAAGCCAGAATTCCCTTCTTTGGAGTAAGCCTCAAGTCCAGTCCCATACCAGCCATGCCATATAGGTATATCTTGAACAAGCTGGAGTTTAATAAGTTCATCATAATTTTGTATACATAGCACTACTAGAAAAGGACTCAAAAAGAACCAAGTGAGTCAAAAATAATCTGTGCTCCTCAGAACTTAAAAAGAGTTTTTGAAAACTGGATGTGGTGGTATACATCTGCAATCCCAGCACTTAAGAGGTAAAGCCAATAGAATCAGCTAGGTGTTTGAGACCAGTCTCAGCTACATAGTGAGTCTGAGGCCAGCCTATGATACCTGAGAGCTTGCCTCCAAATAAATAAATAAACTGGCCGAATATCTTCTGTCATTGGGGGGAAGAAAGGCACACGATCCCATCCCCCTTGATCACCTATAAGCAGATTATAGCAGCTATGGTATAGGGTGTCCTAGTTTGCTTTCTATTGCTGTGATCAGACACTCTGAATAAAACCAACTTGGGTAGGAAAGAGTTTACTTCACCTTACAGCTTACAGTTCATCATGGAGTGAAGACAGGCAGGAACTCAAAGCAGGAGCTGAAGCAGAGACCGTGGATGCTCCTCTGTCCCATGCTTAGTCTGCTTTCATGAACAACCCAGGACCCTCTGCCCAGGGGTGGCACCACCCACAGTGAGATCATCCCTCCTACATCACTCAACAATCAAACAATGCCTTAAGACATGGTCACAGGCTAATCCAATGGAGGCAAAGCCTCAGCTGAGGTTCTCTCTTCTGGGTGTATTGACAATTGAACCTATCCCACACAAGGAGCTGGACATGAGGCTCCACCCCTCCCGGAAGACCTAAAGGCAGTTAAAGCTCACTGAGGGAGGGGGAGAAATTTCCTTCAGTGATGTAGCTAGGGACAAGGAGCTGGTGCTTCTTTCTTTCCTTATTTATTTATTAATATTTTATTATTTTTATTTGATGTGTATGTTTTGCCCGCGCATATATAAGTGCACTCATGTTGTGCAATACTGACTGAGGCCAGAAAAGGGTGTCAGATCTCCTGGAACTGGAGTTATGGATGGTTGTTAGCTGCCATGTGGGTGCTAGGAATCGAATCCATGTCCTCTGAAAGAACAGCAAATGTTCTTAACTACTGAGCCATCTCTCCAGCTCCCTTCTTTAAATAATTCCTCACCAGGATCCTGTAAGCAACACTAATAAAACTAATTGGGCCATGAACGAATGAACGAATGAATAATAAATAAATAAATAAATAAATAAATAAATAAATGTAGAGTAAAAAGAAAAAGGAATCAAGTAACTGATGACCTTGACCTCAGTATACTTAGGCAGTAGCACCTGCTTTTTTTCCAGAAAGATTTATGAATATGATGATTGTGCTGGATAGCTTTAGTGTCAACTTGACACACCTGGGTTGAGGGAGCCTCAGTTGGGGAATTGCCTCCATTGGACTGGCCTGTGGCCATGTCTGTGGGTCATCTTCTTGATTATTGAGTGATGTAGGAGGGCCCAGCCCATTGTGGGTGGTGCCACCCCTGGGCAGGTGAGCCTGTGTTGCATAAGAAAGGCTGAGCAGGAGCCAGGGGAGTAAGCCAGTAAGCAGCATTCCTCCATGGCCTGTACTCCTGCTCCTGCCTCCAGGTTCCAGCGCTGCGTTCCTACCTTGGACTCCCTGGTAAACTGTGACCTGGGAGATGTAAGCTGAATAAACCCTTTCCTCCCCATGTTGGTATTGGTTAGAGTATTTTGTCACAGCAATGGAGAAACAAACTAGGACAACAATGAACTATATCCTCGTGAGAATAAGGGTCAAGGTATTTTTTTTTTTTTTTTTTTTTTTTTTTGCAGTAGGGAAGGACTCTGCTATATAGCCCAGGCTGAACTCCAACTTTGGGGGATTCACCTGCTTCTGCCTCCAGAAGGAGATGGAATTATAGTTAAGTGCCACCATACCCAATTCATGACAGCATTCTTAATGTCTATAAAAGTGTTCCACGTACTTCCAAAATTACATTCTAAATTTGGTACTAACTACCTTATCTAATTTTATCTTGTTTTGACAATAAACCAAAATATCCAAGTAGTATTCATTTGTATTTTCCCATAATCTCCTATGCTTAATTTTCCCCTTCAGAAATTTAGCTGTTTTACTTACCTTGTTTTCTTTTTTCTTTGACAAAGTCTCACTTTGCTGTCTAGCCTTGTACTTGAGATCTTCCTTCTTTAGCCTCCCCAGTGCCAGGATTACAAGAATGCACCCCCATGCCTAGAATTACAGTAGACTCATAATGTAAGCATGCAATTCCAGCACTTTGGAGGAGGAGGCAGGAGAATCAGAAGTTCAAAGCTATATAGTGAGTAGCCTGGGCTACATAAGAGCCTGTTTCAAAAAAAAAAGGAAAGTGACCTATACTAAGATTTTATGCTAGTTTTGTTGAATTACATTATGTGAAAAAAATTCATATCAGAATAGTATCTGGTGCCAGGGTTTGAATGTGAAATATCCCCCATAGACTCATGGGTTTTAAAACTTGATGCCCAGTTGATGGCTCTGCTTCAGAAAGTCGTGGAAAAATTAGGAGACGGGGCCTTTATGGTGAAAGTAAGTCACTGGGTACAGGTTTGATAGCCCAGCCCAGCCCAGTTCCTGTCTGGTCTCTGCTTCTTGACTTCTAATATAGGATGACCAGTCTCCTCCCACTCCTACTTCCATGCCTTCCATGCCCTGATGGACTGTATCCCTTCTTAAACTGTAAGACAAAGTGAACCCTCTCTAACATTGCTTTTTGTTAGGTATTGGTTACAGCAATGACAAAAGTAATAAACTTGATTACCTTACAACTTAAATAGCATTTTTGAGCTCTTTGGTATAATGATGCATATGTATTTTAAAACAGAAATGTGTCTCAAATTTTTAATAAAGTTGTGTCTGTTTATGTGTGTGCATATGTGTGCTGGTGGCCATGGAGGCCAGAATAGGGTGTTGGAACTCCTGGAGCTGGAGTTACAGGTGGGTGTAAGCCACCTGATGTGGGTGCTGGGAACTGAATCAGGGTCCTCTGGAAGAGCAGGAAGCACTCTTAAATGCTGAACCATCTCTCTAGCTACTGTCTCAAAATTTTAACTTCTCTACATTAATGTATTTCCTAATTTATAACAAGGGTCAAATGTTTTTAAACTTCTTTATTTAAAAATTATATTTACTGAGAGAGAGAGAGAGATAGAGAGAGAGAGAGAGAGAGAGAGAGAGAGAGAATGTGTTTGTATACATGCACATATGGAAGTTAGAAGACAACTTGTGGGAGATGCTCAGTGGTAAAGGTACAAGCACAGGCCTAACGCCAGTTCCATCACCAGCACCCATGTAAAAAAGCTGGATTTAGTTCTGTGCACCTGTAATCCCAGCACTCCTACTATAAAATGGGATATGGAGACAGGAGAAATGCCAGAAGGTCAAGGGCAGACAGCCAGAGTATGCAACATAGCAGAAGAAACAAAAGACCTTGGCACATGGTGGAAGGTGAGAACGGACTCCTGAAAGTTGTGCTGACCTCCACACATGCACCATGACAGTCCTACACACACACACACCACGCATGCACGCACACGAATAAATAAGTAAATAAATAAAATAGGGTGGGGGGGCTGGAGAGATGGCTCAGCGGTTAAGAACATTGAATGTTCTTGTAGAAGAACTGGGTTCGAATCCCAGCACCCACATGGCCACTAACAATTGTCCATAACTCCAGTTCCAGGGGATCCGACAGCCTCTCTGTCCTCCTCAGGTATTGCATGACATGGGTGCACTTACCTACATGCAGGCAATACACACATACACATGAAATAAATAAATAAATAAATAAATAAAATATTTTTAAAAATAGGGGTGGGGAGCAAGATGGCGAAGCAGGTAAAGGCATTTGCTGACAGGCCTGACAACCTGAGTTCCATCCCTTAGACCCACATGGCTGAAGGAGAGAACCAATTCCCATAAGTGGACCTCTGGTCTCCACATGTGCACCATGGCACTTTCCCACACTATCAATAAAAATTTTTTAATTTAAAAAAAATTTAAAAACAAGCCAGGGATGGTGGCACATGCCTTTAATCCCAGCACTTGAGAGGCAGGTGGATCTCTGTGAATTTGAGGCCAGTCTGATCTATATAAGGGAGTTCCAGGCCCCCTGGGGATACAGGGGGACCCTGACTCAAAAAGACCAAAACTAAAACCCAAAACTTAAAGATCCACTTTAGGCTAGCATGGTCGCTCACATTTACAATTCCAGCACTCAGGAGGCCAAGGCAAGAGGATTGCTGTGAGTCTGAGAGCTGCCTGGGCCAAGAATGACTCTGTTTAAAAATACAGTAACAAAAACCAAAACAAACTACTTAACAAAATGGACAATAAAGATTCTAGACTTATAAAAAGACATCCTACTCCTGAGTCATATGACCTGCTATCATTTGAATCTGAAATGTCTCCCATAGCTTGTGGTTTGAGAGCTTGTAGGAGGTGGGACCTAGCAGAGGAAGTACGTCTTTAGGGATAGGGACTTTGAAGGCTACCCAGGTTTCTGTCCCATGCTCTGCTTCTTGGATCTGTTGTGATATGAACAGCCTCTGCCATGTGTTCCTGCTACCATGAATTGAGTTGCTCTGCTCTACCCTCCTTTCTATAAAGAACTGAAATCCTCTGAAACAGTGAGCCAAAACCTTTCCTCCCTTAAGTTGTTCTTGTCAGGTATTATGGTCACAACAGTGCAAAAGTAACCTAATAATTTCTAAAATATTTTCTAATAAAAAATAAGATTCACCAATGTTACATGCATGGTCAGTGTTTTATTCTTTGAAGAATGATTCTAAAACATCACACCAAGTAAGGCTGAAAAGTAAAGTTTAAAATAGACAGTGTTATAAGAATCAGTTATAACACAGGTGATGATCGGCCATTCTAAGAAAGTTTGATCTTAGAGCTTATGATGCATCTTGTTGGCAACAGCACCCAGGTTTTCAAAAATGCCAGTCATCATTTTTCTCTTGTCTGCATAGACTTCTTCTCATTGGCTGCCTTCTGCTTTTGTTGCATGATCTCAGAGTCCCTATTGGAGAAAAGGATAGAAATTGTCATAGAAAAACCGACTTCACGTTCTCATTATTTTCTATGTATAGCTAATTTAGTACATTAAAAGTTTAAAAAGATATATAAATCTTCACGTGTTTCCACTTTTATGGCTGTAGACAAACTAAAAAAGGACAAGGAAGGCACTGAAATCAGACCTTACTTTGAATATCACACTACTGTTCTCATGACATTGGGCAAATGATCTTAAAGCTGGAGCAATATACATCAAGGTTTTTCAGAGGAATAGCTATGAATATATAGAAAAGTACCTACTATTAGGCAGTTACATACAGAGATAATAATAATTACTCTAGTTAACAAGGCTAGCCCACCAATTTTTTTTCCTGAAAGTGGCATTTGGGAAGTTTCCTAGATTTCCTAACTGACAACTCAATAGTACTTAGGGCTACAATATAAGTGCCATAAAATAGTTATTTTGTTTTTTGAGACAGGGTCTCATGTAGCCAGGGATGGTCTTCAAGCTGAAATGTACCCTAGGAAGAACCTGGGCTCTTCTTGATCCTCCTGCTTCCACCTCCTGACTGTTGGACTTACAACAATTAATTTTTTAGAAGTCCCAAATTGAATAATCAGTGATTAAATTAGGATTATTCTAAAGAAATGTAGGGTATTCAGAGAATTTTAACCCTTTATGTCTCTTTTTGCCTGAATCTTCCCATGTCATATAACTGGGAACCATGACCAGACTGCCTGAGCTAGATGATTCACAAGTTCACAGAACATACACACAGACATGCCTTTTTTATATTTAGTGATTGCTGATGTGGTGGTACAATTCTATAATACCAGCATTTGGGAAGTGGAAGTAGGAGGATCATAAGTTCAAGGTCTGACTCTACGACATAGGAAGTTCAAGGCCAACCTGGGACAAATCAAAGTTTATATACCCTTCCTCCTCAAAACCCCCATAAAAAGAGAAAAAAAAAGTTTAGTGGTGCTAGGATCAAGCTCAGAGCCTCATGCATAGCAGAAAATATACTAAACAGCTATATATTCAACACCCTTACCTGGGTGTGGTGGGTCACATCTATAATCCCAGCACTTGGGAAGTTGAGACAGGATGATTGCTACCAGTTCTAGGCTAGTCTGAGCTACAGATTGACTTCTAGGTCAGCCTGAAATGTGAGACCTTATCCCCCCCCCCCCCAAAAAAAATCAAACCAGTAACACCTATGTGCTAAGCTCTAATGATTTTGACTTAAGTACAATAACTCATTATTACCATATTTCATATTTAAAAAAAAAAACAAGAAACAAGTTCGGGACTAAATAATCTCTCCCAAATCATGCAAATACCAAGATAATGTTGAATTTCCCAAAGTCCAGGATTTTCCTAGGTTGTTTTCACATAACTTTAGATTTTAATTCAGTACCAGCTAACACTACCACAGGAAGATATTTCCTTAAATCCAATACAAAAACAAGGAAGGAAAAGCTACAAAGAACTAAGTGGAAAAGAACAATGAGTTTCTTTTCTGTTTAAAACCAAGTGCTTGTAGTGCTTGCTGTATGACCTTAGTAATACTACCAAAGTTACAAAAGCCGGGGTTGGTGGCTAATACCCAGTATCCAGCACTTGCAAAGTTCAGACAGGATGATCCCAAGTTCAATGCCACCCTGAGTCATAGTGAGATCCTGTCTCAAATCAAACAAAACAGAAAGTCTCACTTTCCTATACTTCACACTGGTGCAAATGCCACTTTAGGGTCATAGTGAAAGAGATAATATATTGTATCTAGCACAGAGTTAAAGGAGTATTAGATAAATAATAGCTTTCCCAACCAAGCTAGAAAAAGTTCTCCAATAAAAAGAACATTTCAGGGTCACTGATCCATACCATTTTTACCCTGAGGTGAGTAAACAGAAATTTAAGGCAAAATTCATTGCTTTATTAGTAACTATCACTGCGGCTGGGAAGACAGCTCAGCCAGTAAAGTGTCTGCTGCACAAGCATGGGGACCTGAGTTCAGATCCCCAGAACCATGGGAAAAGCAGAATATGGTAGTAGTGTTTATAATCCCAGTGCTTGAGGGTAGAGCTTAGACAGGCAGATCCCTTAAGTTTATTGGTCAGCCAGTTTAGGCAAAATGATGAGCTTCCAGCTCAGGGAGAGATCTGTCAAAAAACAGAAAGTGGTGCCTGGGCACGGTGGTGGGAGGCAGAAGCAGTGAACTCTGAGTCTGAGGCTAGCCTGATCTACATAGTAAGACACTGTCTCAAAAAAAAAAAAAGTTGTGGAGAATGATTGGGTAAAGACACATGATGTCAGTCTCTGATCTCCCACATCTCTAAGTACATGTACTGCTTATATGCGTGCATGGGGGCGGGGTGGATGATGACGACAGACATGGGACGGAATGGGATGGGACAACTATTTACTGAAAGAAAGTGTGAAGTGATACTTAAGGGGCTCCATCTTATTAACGAGTCTCAGTTTTGCAAACCAAAATTACCAGAGGAGCTATTTTTAAATCAGGTTTAACACATAAAATTTACCTTTTTACCTTATGTTTTTTGGGGAGGGGAGAATAGGGATCAAACCCAGGGCCTTCCACATGCTAGGCAAAGGTTCTACTACTGATGAGCTTCACCCGCAGCTCTAGCATGTTTTTTCCCATACCCAGTCAGGGTCTCCTGTAGCCAGGCTAGCCTTAATCTTGAACTTGATGATTAGAGGGGATGACCTTTGACATCTGATCTTCCTACTTTCACTTCCCAAGTGTTGGGGTTACAGGCATGGAGAACATGCCTGGTTTTATGCAGGGCTAAGGATCACTGAACCCAGGGCTCTGTGTCCTTAGTGTGCTTTTCAATGTCCCACCTCAGATCAATTAAATCAGAATAGGGTGTAGAATACTGGCTTCAGCAACCATCAGAATTTTCCAGGTGGTCCCCTAATAAACCACCGATAAGCTACATTCATACATATATAGCCTCCAACTTCCACACAGATAATAAAATCTTTTTATTTTTATATAATTTTATTTATTGTTTTTATTTTATGTGTATGCGTGTATTGCCTGAAAGTAGGTAAGTGCACCATCCGTGTCATGCAATGCCCATGGAGGTCAGAAAAGGCTGTTGGATCCCCTGGAACTGGAGTTACGGACAGTTGTTAGCTGCCATGTGGGTGCTGGGATTTGAAACCAGGTCTTCTGCAACAACAACCAGTATTCTGAACCGCTGAGCCATCTCTCCAGCCCCTAAAATCTCATTCAGTGGTAGAGCTAAGTGAGAAGGCCCCAGGTTCAATCCCCAGCACATAAAAAATATTTGAAATTTTAGAATAAAATTGCTTCCCACCCCTCAGGCATTGGGAAGTGAACCCAAGACTTTGGGCATGTGAGGTAGGCATTCCATCACTAAATTTTCATCCCCAGCCCAGATTCTTGTCCACATGGAGCTTGCAAAGAGGATGAGATTCACGTGTCCTGGTTCCTAGTTTTTGTTATCCTATGATAGGATATATAACCTCCAATAAAAAAATTTACCAAGAAAAGAATGTATAACCTCAAATTCAATTTGGGACGGAGTGCTGGGCATTGAACCCCATGGCCTCAGGCATGCAAAGCACATATTCTACCACTGAGCTACACTCCCAGCTCCCCAAACCCTTTCTGAAACATGAATGTAAGTTGTAAACTCATTAAAGCAGTTCTTGGGGGCTGGCAAGATGGCTCAGAGGGTAAAGATGCTTGTCACTAGCCTGATAACCTGAGTTGGATTCCCAGAACCCACATAGTAGACAGAGAGAACTAACCCAAGCAAGTTATTCTCTGATCTCCACACACATACCATGGCACATGCACACCTACACACATTCACACACTATAAAATAAATAAATGGGAGCCGGAGAGACGGCTCAGTGGTAAAGAGCACCAACTGCTCTCGTAGAGGTCCTGGGTTCAATTCCCAGCACCCATCCATAACTCCAGTTCCAGGAGCTCCAACACCCACTTCTAACCTCCTTGGGCATTGCATGACACAGGTGCACTTATATACATGCAGGCAATACACCCGTACATGTAAAATAATAAAATATTTAAAAATAAATGTAAAAAAATAAATATTTCTTTTTTTTTTTGAGACAGTGTCATATGTAGTCCAAGATGGCCTCAAACTCCTGATCATTTTTCATCAGCCTTCTGAGTCCTATGATTACAGGTGATCAACCCTATGCCCAGGTCATTAAAGAACTCCTGTCACAGTTATGTATCATCATTTTTCATACAAAGTCATGATGTGCTAGGGATGGAACTCTTGGCTTTATACAAGCTAGGCAAGTGTTCTACTACTGAGCTACATCTCTATGGCCTGGAACAAAGCTCTGCCTACCTCTGCCTCCAGAGTCTGTGATTAAAGGCAAGCACCACCTGGACTGAGGGCAAACTGCCTAGGAAACATTGTATCCCTCTCATCTAACAGTGGTTTACATATGGAGGATGCTTCCTTATTTTTTTTGATAAAGTTCTTACAGTTTGTAGGAGCTCCCAGAGCCTCTCTGCAAAACAAATGACAGGTTCAGGGCTTGAAATTCTTCATCCACAGGCTGAGATGACTATTCCACATGACGTTATTATACTTAGCATTCCATAAACCTATTTGGTGTTAACTCTGTGAGGGTCAATTCTAGCATGGGTTAAAAACTTTTTCACTCACTCTGCAGACATAGCTTCAATAAACCTCCAATGACATGAACATTCTATTACTACCACTCACCTCTGCTTTCTCTGAGAGGTGGTCAAGCTATCCTCTTTTCTTTTTCCTTTGCTAATTTCCTGGGTTTTTTTCATATTTTTCTGGCGGGCAAGTTCTCTTTGATTTCCACCTACAAAAATAAGCATCCTCAGAATGAATAATTCCATTAAAGGTTCTTTATATGAGTTTGAAGTTTTATTATTATTCACAAGCAAGCAGAGCACCGCATAGTTATTCCCAGCTCTGACAAGGAAGCTTAAGGAGAAACAGTTAAGGACTTTACAGGATCACCACATCAATACAGGTATCCACTGGCTATACACACCAGATCTTTTAAAATAGGCATTCCTATGGTTGTCTACCCAGGCCACGCTCCAAGATAGTAAGTTCTGGCTTTTCAGGGGTGTGTGTGAAGAGAGCCTGGGAGATGAACAGAGATCCCACCTCGGGCCAGTTCAGCCAGTCGCAGTTCTGTTAAAGCTACCAAAGGCTGAAGTCCACCGAACATCACCTGCGAGGACTAAACAAAAGAACCGGAGCGCACACTCCGCCCGAGCTCCGGCTGCCCGTGAGGCCTTCAGACTTCAGGCTCCAGCTCCATCCGGCTCAGGTGCGGTCCCTGCCAGCATCCCGAGGCCAGAATCCCCGCACCATTTACCCCCGCGCCAGCATCCCGGCACCGATCACAGCCATGGTCCCCGCCGGGGCCAAGTAGGCTCCGGCTTCCTTCCCACCGTCCCTCGCACCGTCCTCGGACTCACGGGCCATGCCGACGCCGGCCGGAGCCTGCAGGCGGCGATTCGGAGAAGCAACCGCTAGCTCGCACGCTCTGCAGCCGCCGCCCGTTGCTGAGGAAGGCTGAGCCCCCGCGGGCGGGCCGGGAGTAGGACGAAGCCTCGGCGCGTCCCGCCCCGCCCACCGGCCCCACAACAGCGGCGGCGTGGCCTGTGAGCCACTGCGCGTGCGCGCCCAGGGCTCGCTCGGGAAGGAGCGCGCCCGGGCCTGCGCGCTTTACAGGGCTTCCCGGTCGTTGTTGGGTGCATGCACCTAACTTTTCGTCGTCTTAGGCGGAAAGGGGAGGAAGGTGACTGAGCCTTCTGTAATCTAACGACCATCCTGCAAGGTGGGCTTCCTCGTCTCCTTTTGCACACGCTAACCACCCAGCCAATAGGAACTGGTAGATGTGACAGTCAAATTCTATGAAGGCTCTAAAGCTTGTTCACTACCCATTTTATCCCAGTGCGTTTGTCCCGAGGGGCAGAATTTGTTTTGTTTTTGTTTTGAAACAAGGTCTCCCTGTAGCCCCATCTGATCTAGGACTCGCTATGTAGACCAGGCTGGCCTCTATCTGAGATCCACCTGCCTCTGACTCCTGAGTGCTGGGATTAAAAGTAGCACAACTTTAGGAGTTTTAAGTACTGGGTCTGCGGTTGGGTTGTATGTCTAGAAGACGAGGGCGGGATTCATAATAGCCCAAAATAACCTCACACCCTATCTAAGAGCTGTTGACTATCTGCTATTGCTAGAAACAAGAGAAAAAACTTGCACAGGTTTGGGGGTATAGCTCAGTGGCAGGGTGCTGGCCTAGCGTGCATAACCCTGGGTTCCATCCCAACACTGCAGTCAGCTTGCATAGTCCTTTCACTGATAACTTTTTAGCTATCCATTATTGCAAACTAGGATAGTCTGGACACCCTAAAACTGCCTAGTTTTAAAGAACATTTTATTGTGGAACATTTCAAATATAAACAAAAGTTAGAAACATTTCAAATATATACAAAAGATGATCTTATGGTGTACCCCAGATACATAGTACCAAACATTCACAGTTGTCACCTTACGAAATCAACTAGTTTAGAGAAAATGGGAGAAAGCGGTGTGAGATGGAATGCCAGGATTGGAAGCCTGACTCTAGCCTGATGCAAGCCCGTAATTTTAGCACTGAGGAGCTGAAGGGAGGCAGATCAGGAGTTCAAGGCCAGCCTGGGCTACCTAAGGCACACAACAACAAAATCAGAAACAGAGACCAAAGGGGAGGGGGGAAGCCAGTTCTACCAGTTGGTAGCCTGTCAACTTGGGAACATTATTTCATTGTCCTAAAGCTCCTTTACCTAAAAACTGAGGAGGCAATTACACTCTCTTCACTAATGAATCAATATGGGGCTGAGGTGGTAGCTCAGTGGGTAAAGTGCTTGCAGGGGAAGCACAATGACATGAGTTCTCCCCAGAAGCTGTGTTAAAAGCTGAATGTGGTAGCACCTGCCTGTAACTCCAGCACTGTGAGAGCCAAGACAGGAAGACTCCTGGGGTTCCATGGCCAGCCATCCTAGCTTACTTAGCTCCAGGCCAGTAAAAGACCCTGTCTCAGAAAACAGGGGCTGGAGAGCTGGCTGAGCAGTTAAGAACACTGGCTGCTCTTGCAGAGGACCCAGGTTCACTTCCTAGCACCCACATGGCGGCTGACACATGGCTGTAACTTGAGGTCTAGGGGGTCAAACACCATCTTCTGGCATCCTCAGGCATTGCACACATGGGTGCACTTACATACATGGAGGCAAAACACTTATACACATAAAATAAACAGGAGCTGGAGAGAGATGGTTCAGCAGTTAAGGGCACTGGCTGTTCTTGCAGAGGACTCAGGTTTGGTTCCCAGCACTTATATGGTGGCTAACAACCATTATTGCAATTCCATTTCCAGGGGATCCCACACGTGTTCTCTCCTGACCTCGAGGGTGTTGCACAACACAGGTGTACATACACACAGGAAAAACACTCATGCACATAAAAATAAATAATTTTAAAATTAAAATAAATAACGATAAGTGCCTGAGGAATCATACTCAGGGTTGTCCTCTGACCTCCACAAGCATATGCACACACATGAAGACACGCACAAGTACACACATCAAAAAGTGAAACAATAGGGTGCCACTGTACAATAGGGCTCCGTATACTGGCTGTTACCCTAACCTCAGGGAGCCTTGCACCACTCTCTTCACATCACTCCTGTCCTGCTCAGTACTGCTTGAGGTCAAGTGTCTGTTTCTACTCCGTGAACTTTTTCTTGAGAAATTGAGAAGGAGGAAAGATTTTCTAGCCCAGATATTTGTAGAACTAAAGAGATCATTTATGGATCAAGGATATAGCTCAATGGTAGATATTTGCCTAGCATATGCAAAACCTTGGGTTTGAATTCCAACACCATTCAAAAAATAATATTAAGAGGAATCTAGTATGGTAGAACATGTCTATAATCTCAGCATTTGGGAGACTGAGGTAGGATTGTTTGAGGCTAACCTGGGATACATAGTAAGACCTTGTCTCAAACAAAAACAAAGTGAAGGAAGTAAGGAAGGATTGTGGGATTGGAAAGGAAGTGGTATGTAAGAGTTGTTTTTATGTTCTCAATTTACAACCTGAACTTTTATCTTTATAGATGAAATGACATAATTTTAGAGGTTTTAAGTGTATTTCATCTTCTTGACACATAAGCTGTTCTTATGGCCACCCCTGGCCCAGGAGCCAGACCTGAAATTATGTGTTTTTTTAGTTGTGAGGGTACAGGGATATACATTATGTATATAGAATGTGTTGAAAATGTCTGCCAGAGAAAACTGTCAAATTTTAAAAAATAATTTTTATTATCTATGTGTATATCTTACTGTATGAGTGTATGTGCCCTTAGAGGCCAGAAGAGGATGTTGGATCTCTTGGAACTGGAGTTACAGGCTTTGTGAACTCCACAATGTGGGTGCTGGGATATGAGTTCTGGTCCTCACGATAGAGCAGCAAGCATTTTTAACCACTGAATCATCTCTCCAGCCCCCAACTGTAGGATTTAAAAATTATTCATGACACCCACAATTTACTTCACAAACTCAGGTAACAACAATCTTGTGATATATTTAATAGTAAAAATTAAATTTTTGTTTTATCCCTTTACTTGTAGGAAATTAAGTCTAAGTCATTATTGATTTCTTTATCTACAAAGTTTTGGGAATGTCTTATATTCTTAGATGGGACTGAATATTTATGAGAAGACATTGCATAAGAACTTGCTGTCCAAAACTGTATGCCCTAGTAGCACTCAAGATTCCTGAGGCATCTTTGGCATGACCTTCTTTTACAAGCTTTTTTTCAAATGAGGTCTCATACTGTAATCCTAGCTGGCCTGGAACTGGCTATCCAGCTGTTCTTGAATTCATGCAATCCCCCTGCCTCAGGATGCTGACATTGCAAGCATCTGTAACCACCTCCAGATTTTTGTTTTTTGTTTTAAGTTCTTGAGTATCTTTGTTTTTTTAGTACCGAGGACTGAACACAAGGCTTTGCATATGCTTAACACTAAACTGCATTCCCAGCCTTCAGCTTTGTGTGTGTGTGTGTGTGTGTGTGTGTGTGTGTGTGTGTGTTGTGACAGGGTATCATGTAGCTCAAGTCAGCCTAGAACTAAGCCAGGCTAAGCCTGGCCTGGAATCCTCCTGCCTCTGGTTCCTGAATGTTGGGATTATTATCATCTTTGTGTTGCTATGCCTAGTGGAGCTCCTTTAAACATATCTGAAATCATGGTATGAGGGTGTGTGTGTGTGTGTGTGTGTGTGTGTGTGTGTGTGTGTGCGCGCGCGCGCGCACGCACAGATATGAGTGTCTGTGTATACTTGGAAGCCAGAGGAGGGCATTTGATGTCCTTTCTCACTCTTCATCTTATTCCTTTGAGGCAGGGTCTCTCACTGAATCCAGAACTTGAATTCTGTGGCTAGGCAAGCAGACAGCAAGCCTCAGCAATCTTACGGAATCTTCCTTTTCTTCCAAGAAGGAAGATAGGAATTACATGTTCATATGTCGGGATTTGCATCACAGATCCAAATACCTCTTCACTGATACCGGGTCAACCTATGGTTGACTATTTTTCCTCCCACCATAAAGGCCTTACCAACTGTTCCACTGCCAACACCCCAGTACTCTTATATCAGCCTCTTTCATGATATGTAATATAGTCTTAATTATTTTGATTTGCTTGTTGTATTCTTCCCTCTGTAACCCAGAATGTCCTCTTTATTGCTCTCTTGATATCTCTGGAAGTAGATTGAGAATATGCAAATAAATGTGCAAAGTTTAGAGTATAATAATTTTTGGATGCGCCATAAATTCACTGAAAAGTGCACAAGTGAATGTCTTCCTCTTATGGTGTGTTTCATAGCCCCTCTTCCAATAGATAACCATTAGCAGGTTCTTCACACCAAATCTCAAATTATGTTTTACTCAGTTTAAAATTTCTAGCTGCGTGTATTAGCACATGCATGCTTTTAATCCCAGCACTCCTGGGGGGGTGGAGGCAGGAGGATCAAGAGTTCCAGGCTAGCCTCAGCTACCAGAGATCCTCTCAAAAACCTAAAACAAACCATTTCCTGGGATGCACTGGTGGTAGGGCACTGCTCTCATACTATTTTATCTATTTAGTTTGTAAATTAAAAAATACTTTATTACTTTTATTTTATGTGTATGCGTGTACTGCCTGCATGTAGGTAAATGCACCCGTGTTGTGCAATGCCCGCGGAGGACAGAAGAGGTTGTCACATCCCCTGGAACTGGAGTTACGGCCAGTTGTTAGCTGCCTTGTGGGTGCTGGGATTCGAACCTGGGTCTTCTGCAAGAACAGCCAGTGTTCTTAACCGCCGAGCCATCTCTCCAGCCCCTAGTTTGTAAATTTTTATCGTCTTATTTTATTGTCTTTTTTGAGGGAAGGTCTTGCTAGATAGTCCTGTCTGGCCTGGAACTCGTGACCTTCCTAGTGCTGAAATTGTAGGCATTTACCATCAGCCTCTGCTTTCTTGTACACTATAGCTGCTCTCAAGAACTCCCTAGAAACGAACCTGGTCAGTGACTTTAATAGGACATAAAGGATCGAACTAGCTAGGCTGGCGGGGAGGGTGTAGCTCAGTGGTAGCGTGCATGCCTAGTGGTAGCGTGCATGCCTATGATGCCCAAGGTCCCTGGGTTCGATCTCCATCACCACGGTGGAGGAAAAGTTAAAATGTTTGAGCAAGACTCGAAAGCACAGGTAACCGAAGCTACAGCGTGCGGCAGTTACTATGGCTCCCGGTGCCACGAGTCTGACGTCAGTCCGTGGCGCCGGATGGTTACGCAATGGTTTCCGCCGCCTTCTTCGAGCCGGTCGGGGAGAGGAGGAGGGAGAAATTTAGCGAATTGTGTGGCAGGGTCATGAAGAGGAGGCGCTGGCGGGAGAGCGGCGGAGGCGGCGGAGGCGCGAACCTGCGGTAGCCGCAGCTGGTGGTGTGGCCAAGCGGGAGGACGAGGGTCCCGGCGGGCGGGGCTCGGGGCTGAGCGGCCGTGGAGTGGCCTCTCCCGGCCCCCCGGCTCCGCCATGTTCCGCAGGGCACGCCTTAGCGTGAAGCCGAATGTCAGGCCTGGTGTCGGCGCCAGGGGCTCCGCCGCTCCTCATCTGCTGCGTGGCGCCGAGGCGCCCAGGCCGCCCGGGCCTGCCGCCGAGTCCGCTCCGAAGTCGGCCGAGCCCACACCGGTGCCTGCGGTGGATTACAGGGGAGCGGGGCCCCAGGAAAAGGCTCCCGGGAGAAGGTATGAAGCTGAGCAGTTGAACCCGACCGCGGAGTTCCTCGATGGCAGGGAGTCTATCGTTCGATGAAATCCTTCTGCGCTGCAGTTTAACCCCCGATCCAAGAGTGCAGCTAGTACGATTGTCATGGTGTAAAGAGGAGCATGTTTAACAGAGATGGGACTCCAGGTCTAACAATTCTGAAGTCAAGGATAGTTTAAGTAATTCTCCTGGGTTACTTTCAGGAAAAGTACTTTGGGCTTTTTGTTGTGAGAATATTTATTTTGAAAAGGAGAACTTTTTTTTTTTTCCTCCACGCGGTTTTGGGACTTGATCAGGACTTCACGCAAGTTAGGCGAGCGCCCTGCGACCGAGCCTCACCTGCAGCGTTTGATAATGGATAGAGATTCTGGTTGCTTGTTTTGGTTTGCGGGTGTACTCATTTATGGTGTCGGTGTTACCCGAATTAAGACACCTGATTTAGCATCATGTACCACTTTAAACTTAAAGTAGGCTGTTCTCAGGGAGAATTTATTCCTCTCTTAAATAAGGGTAATAGTACCTCCTTTGGGGGGGTTCGTATAAACAGACTTGCACATGACATGGCAGTATAGTTCTCCCATATTTACTGGTTTCAGAAAAAAAGGTGACAGTGCAAAGTAATTAAAGATGTGACATGTTAATACGATGGGCTCAGATTTTTAAAATTTTTATTTTATGTGTTTGAGTGTTTGTATGTACATTATATGTGTACCATATGTGTGCCTGGTGTCCACAGAGGCCAGAAGAGGGCATCGATCTCCTGAAATTGGAGTTTCAGGCAGTTGTGAGCTGCCATGAGGGTGTTAGGAACTGAACCTGGGTCCTCTGCAAGAGCAGCCGGTGCTCCTTACTGCTGAGCCATCTCCAGTCCCTCAGTGAATTTTTGTGTACAATAAAAATACCAATATTGGTTGGGCTGGAGGGACAGCACAGCTGTTAAAAGGCTAAGGCTAACAACCAAAACGTTAAAAAATGCCAATATTGGTCACTGTTCTAAAGTCTTTGAAGATTTTTGTTAACTATATAGGAGTGGCTCCCTGAATGATTAATAGTTCATAAATTGCCCATAAGCTATGGTCCTGAGCCATTATGGTATAGACTACCTTTTTTGTTATTGACAGAGTATATATGTATATACATAATTTTTTCTTTTTAAACTCAGTCTCATGTAGCTTAGGCTGACTTGGAACTCACTATATATGTATGGGAGGATGACCTTGAATTTCTGATCTTCCTGCCACCTTCTGAGTGCTGGAATTACAGATGTGTGCTACCATTGCCAGGGCTTTATGCAAGCACTCTACCTACCAACTGAACTATGTTCTCAACCCTTGTTTTTAATTATATCACTTTTTTTGATAGCCTTTGCTACTTGTAAAAACCAACAGAGTATATGTTCTCTTCTTTCACATTCACCACAACTGGATATAATACAAATGGTTCATGTGTTACATTGTTATAAGGGATAAAATTTTTGGGTGAAGAGTGCTAGACCTTGTGCATGTTAGACAGGCACTCTACCATTGTCCTGTATATATGTCCAGCTTTGAGAAAAGAGGTCAAATTAGAGATTTTTAATTTTAAAAATTATTTTTATTATGTGTATGAGTGTATTGCCTGCATGTATGCTTCTATGTATGTAAGTGCACCATGTGCATGCAATGCCTTTGGAGGTCCTAAGATCTTAGCCGCTGAGCCATCTCTCCAGCCCCTAAATTAGAGATTTTAGAGAGGTTATTTCATGGGCTGTCATTTTCAGTTTTTATATAGAATTAATTCTAAAATATGACAAAAGTGGACTTTTAAATTCTTTTTTAAGTCATTTTTACGCCAGGTGTGGTGGTGCAGGCCTTTAGTCCCAGCACTTGGGAGGCAGAGGCAGGTGGATCTCTATAAGTTTGAGGCCAGCCTGGTCTACATAGAGTGTTCCAGGCCAGCTGGGGCTACAGGGAAACCCTCTCAATATCATTAAGACAAAAAAAAAAATCATTTTTATTTTATGTGTGTGAGTTTTGCCTGCCATGTATCTAAGTGCACCTGTGCATGCCATGCCCATGGAAGCCAGAAGAGGGAGTCAGATTCCCCTGGAACTGGAGTTATAGTTGGTTGTTAGCCACCATGTGGGTGCTGGGGATTGAACCTGGATCGTCTACAAGAGCAGCTAGTAGCTGAGCCATCTCTCTAGCTCTTGACTTAATGCTCCTTTTTTTCTAACATTAAAAAATTTAACTAATACATATAATTTTATTTAATGTGCTATTTCAATACAGATATACAGTGTGTCAGGAGAATTGGTATATCTATCACTTCAAAAGTTTATCATTTCTTTGTGTTGAGCGCATTCAAGATCTTTCCTATATGCTATAATGTGTTAGAAGTTATTTTCTTCTATTCAGCTACATCCCTGTTCTCTTAATTTGCTTTTAGGCCATTTCTGAGTTATTTATATCTAATCTGCACCATAGCCAATAGTTGATTTAGAGTGACTAGGTACTTTTTTTGGTTAGGCTCTCATGTAGTCTAGGCTGGCCTCAAACTGTGTTGCTGAGGATAACTTTGAACTTCCCATCCTTCTGCCACCATCTCCTGAGTGCTGGGGTTACATGCATGTAACAAAACAAAAGCCAACCCCACCCCTCTGCTATTCAGTTATTCAAAATAGGCTAATTAAGTTTGATTCTTTGTCTTTTTTTTTTTTTTTAATGTAATTTGAGGGAGCTCACCATCTAATTTTGTTCTTTAATTGCTTAAGGACTGAGGTTTAAAAAAGACAAACTTAACAGCCTTCTTTAGAATTTACATGTATTGGGGCTGGGCGCAGGGGTACATGCCTTTAATTCCAGCACTCCAGAGGCCTCTGCAGTGCTTTCACAGGCAGATCTCTGTGAGTTCAAGGCCAGCGTGGTCTATACATAGTGAGTTCCTGGCCAGCTCATTCTACAGGGAGACCCCCTGTCTCAAAAAGATTAAAAAAAAAAAAAAAAAGAATTTGCATATATTAAAAGATGGGTCTTTCTGTTGGTTATTTTTGTTTTTTGATTTATTATTTTTTTGTGTGTGGATGTGCATGTGTGTGCCCACAGTGGCCAGAAAAGGGTGTTGGAGCTTGAGTTACAGGTGCTTGTGAGCTGCCTGGTGTAGGTGCTGGGAATCAATATGGGGTCCTCTGGAAGAGCAGTGCCATCTCTACCTACTTTTTGTTTGTTTGGGGATAAGACTCTTACCTGGCAGTTCAAGCTGGTTGCAGTCCACTGTAGCCCAGACTGGTTTGTGCTCATAGCAGTCCATCCACCTCAGCCTCCCAGTACTAGGATTACAGGTGTGAGCTACCATACCCAGCTGAGAAACTTGAACAGTATTTTATTGCAGTTCTCTTGTAATTAACATGAATTGAAGAAGTAATTGTTTGTGGTTTTTGTTTGTTTAAGGAGGCTTTACTATTTTGAAACTATCATTAAAAGATTCATTGTGTCTTTTTAAAAAAATTTCTTTAGTGATACAAAAACTAATGGTGAAAATGTAGAAGAGTCCAGCAAATCGTCCTCTACTGTTTCACAGAGAAGAAAGCGAATATCAAGTACTTCTAGTCTTGTTAAACCTGCTGTCAGTGTTTCTTCACAATCGCAACCCTTATCTACAGTTAATCAAGATGCTGCACAACCAAGTCCCATTCCAACTAAAGAGAAACAGCCATGTTCAGACAGATACCGAATATATAAAGCCCAGAAACTGAGAGAAATGTTAAAAGAAGAGTTGAGAAAAGAGAAGGTAAGGGAGGAGAGTTGCAATTTGAATGTTGCCTGCTTGATTTCTGTTTTTAGGTTAGTACGGCAGGCAGCCTTTGGAAGAAAAGAGGCATGTGTAGGAATTGATGGGGGAACAATGCCAAATAGTGTCCCATATGTTAACAGAACATCTTTTGTAGTACAAACCTTGAACAGTAAACCTTGTAAACTGTTTTCAACTGATAATCTTATTTATTATGATGATTTATTTGTTTGTTTTCAATTTTTAACACAAAGTCTGTTCTATAGCCAAGACTGGCCTGGAACTCTGTAGTCTAGGCTGTCCTCCTGACCGAGCCTCATGTATGTTGGATTATAGGCCTGAGCCTCTGTGCTTGGCTTGATGTCATTTTTAAATATTTTATATAAATATTTTTCATTTATATTTTTCGTTGGTTTTGATAAAAGTAACAAACAAGTTTTTATGAATATATAGATACACAAGCATATTTATAAAATAAACTTTCAGTTTTCATATAAAGACATTACATGAGATGTGGAGTATTAATAGATGAATATACTTGAACAATATGAATTGGCAATGTTTCAAATTGAAACTATGGAAAATTGCAAATGGAAAAAGTTGTGGAGTATGTTCGAGTTGTCGAGACTATGTCTTTTTAATTTGTGTTCTTTTTAATCTTGATGATCATGATTGCTTTTCCTTCAGGGCACAGTAAACAGTGAAGTAGCAGTGGATCTGGTTTTGAAGTTAGAAACTTAAGCTTTGCATGTTAGCTTCCTCCCTTACTGGCAGTGTGATGTTGGGCAGTTTAATCATTCTATATCTATCTCTTTCTTCATCTGTAAAATATTGCAAGTAATAATATCTGCCTCTTTGGATGTTGTGAAGATTTAATATTAATACATGTGAAACACATTAAAACTAATGTATTTTAATGTCTAAAAACCAGTAAGTGTATACAGATTGCAACTGTTTTAACTAACTATTAATGCCTCTTTTTGGTAGAGCTGGAGATTGAACTCAGGATGTCATACATGCTAAGCGTATGTTCTAACACTGAGTTATATACCTGGCTCCAATAAACAGAATTGTATACATTGAGCTTTTATCTAGCCTCGATTACTTGAGTTTTTGAAAACTATTAAGAGATTACTCATCTTTGGGAAGCCCTCACCCATGCCGTCCTGGGTGTGTCCTAACTTTCTTCACAGTGCCTCTCTTTCTCCTAACTTTTGTAGTTACACCTATATTAATAAGGAACCAGAGATGACTCAGCAGTTAAGACTGCTTGCTCTACAATCTTGAGTACTGAAGTTTCAATTCTAACACCTATATAACAAGCGGTCTGCTGAACCTGCCTTAACCTCAGCTCTGAGAGGGGTCAAGAACAAAGGATCACTGTGGCTCGCTGCCTTCCAGCATGACTAAAACATAAACCCCAGGTTCAGGGAGAGACCCTGTCTCAAAGGAATAGATTGAGAGTGGTAGAGGAGGACCTGATGTCCTCTTCTGGCCTCCGTGTGCACACACAAACACATACCCATGCACACACATGTGCATACATACATACATACATAAAAGTAAATCTTAAAACATCTCTACTAAAATCTACACCTCAGCTTCATTAAAACAAAAACTACTAAGGAAAATGTGCTATGACATTTTTAAATATTCAGGTTGTGTTTTCTTAAAATTAGGCATAATTACAATAATACCAAAGCACTTGAAATATGTATAACAGTGGATTGTTTATTGAGTATAGTGCATCTAAAATTACTCTGTTTATAAAACCCCTATGTGTATATAGAAACAATGGAAAAACAAATTTGCTACAAATGAAAGTCAGAGGCCACCAGATCGTTCAAAAATGACTATGAGAGACTTCATATATTACCTTCCAGATAGCAATCCAATGACGTAAGTAAAATTTATTTCTGCATCTGTCTTTTTTAGGTATGTAGTGATTTAAATACCACTTTTAGAGTACAGTTTCATGTACATTGACAAAATTCATAGCATATATGTTGTCTTTCTTAAGATCAAATTTCTAACAAAAATGAATTTTTTCTTTTTGTGGTGGGAATTGGGCTTATTACTGCTGTGCTGCACTCACAGACATGCCATATCAGGTAACTGCTTTCTGGGTGACAGTGGTGCCCTTTATCTCCAAGATTATAAAAGTTTCCTTTGTTTTAATTACTGGGATGTAATGAAACCAACTGGGTACCTTCTCTCTAATCAAGATTCCAATTTCTATTTCTGACATATTATAATCTGAAACAAAGGAATGTTCAGTTTTGTGCCCTACTTTATAATTGAATACAGTGCAATTTGAATAACAAGTCCTTCATGAACAAAGCTTCTTTAATTAAAGTTGGCTTGGGGGAGAAGGCAGAAGGCTTCCAGCAATCTGCTTGTTGTGCTTTTGGTGGTGTAGCAGGTGGAATTAGCACGTCCTTCAGTGTAGGCTTCTTTTGGGTTCACCAGGTCTTTGGCCCAGTTGAAGGAAGGGCCAGAAACCTAGGTTTGAGTTTGACAACTAGTCGTTGAAGATGAGCCACCTAGGTTGCTTCATGTCTTGGGACTGAAAGTTTCTCGTCACTAAGGAATTAGAGGGTAAGAACATTTCTGATTTAGGGCCCAACAAATTATTGATATGTGACAAGTTTTTGACTGAAAATTTTCTTTTTTTCCTTTTTCCTTTTATTTTTTGTTTATTTATTTGATTGTTTGTGTGTTCGCTTTTGGTGCTGGGGATCAAACCCAGGGCCCAGGGATTCACAGAGTTAATCCCCCATGTTCAACAGAAAAACTGATGTTTGAACTGCACCATTATTAACCAAGCATTATGGTATATTATATTAAAAAACATAGAAGTTAAGATAATTTTCTTCTTGCTACAGATAGACTTGATAGGATATAAATTTATTTAAAAGTATTCTTTTATTTGTATTTAATAGTTCTTCACTGGAACAAGAAAAGAAAACTGAAAAATTATTGACTCCATCCCAGACACAAGAGTAAGCTTCTCATCTTTTTCTTTTTTCAATGTGTTCTATTAATGGATACTTTATGTTGTTACTGGGTATCAAATAAGGGCCTTAAATAGGCTAAGCAAAGGTTCTACCACTGAGTTATATATACTTTTTTTTTTACTTTTCATTTAAACAAGCCCAAACAAAGAACTACCTTCTGTTATAACTACCAATGGCCTGGCCAGTTCAATATTCAAGATGCTGAAGAAATGGTCCTTGTTCATATCTTATGCCCAATAGATGCATTTTGTGTGTGTGTGTGTGTGTGTGTGTGTGTGTGTGTGCGTGCGTGCGTGCGTGTGTAAAGGCAAGAGAGCAGAGTCAGGTGCCTTCCTCAATAGCCTGTCTAACTTATTTTTTGAGACAGTCTCACAGTTAAACTCCGTAGCTACCAGATTAGGTGATGTCGGCTGTCCAGTAAACCCCAGAAATCCTCCTGTTTCCACCTCCCTAGTGTTGGAATCTCAAGCTTATGTCACCTCCCCTAGTTTTTTATGTAGCACAGAACTCAGGTCCTTATGCTTGAGGAGCAAGCACTTCACTCACCGAGCCATCGCCACAGCTCCCACATGTTCTTTGCATTCAGTGTTTCTATTTGGTGTCCAGAGTTACTTATTTTTTTTTTAAATTTTATTATTTTTATGTGTGTGCGTGTATTGCCTGCATTCAGGTAAGTGCACCCATGTCATGCAATGCCCACAGAGGACAGAAGAGGCTGTCGGATCCCCTGGAACTGGAGTTACGGACAGTTGTTAGCTGCCATGTGGGTGCTGGGATACGAGAACCCGGGTCTTCTGCAAGAATAGCCAGTGTTCTTATCTGCTGAGCCATCTTTCCAGCCCTTTTTTTACTTTTTAAAAATTACCTGTTTGGTTTTTTTAAAAATATTATTTTTATTTTATGTGTTTGAGTGTATTGCCTGCATGTATGTAAGTGCACCTGTGTCATGCAATGCCCGAAGAGGTCAGGGGTGGGCATCGGATCCCCTGTAAATGGAGTTATGAACGGTTGTTAATTGCCAAGTGGGTGCTGAGAATTGAACCCAGGTCTTGTGTAAGAGCAGCCAGTGCTTTTAACCACTGAGCCATCTCTCCAGCCCCCTGTTTGTTTTTTAATATTTTGTTTATTTATTACTGGTTTTACTTAAGTGTGTGTTTGTGCTGTGTGAGCTTATAAGTGCCATGGAGGCTAGAGGGTTATATTATTTATTTGTGTGTGTACATGCTTGTACCTGTGCCTGTACTTGCAATGGGCATGCAATAGAGTTGTGTAGAGATCAGATGACAACCTGAGCAAGTCACTTCTCTGCCATGTGGGTTCTGGGGATTGAACTCAAGTTGTCATGCTTGGTGGCAAGTGCCTTTATCCACTGAGCATGCCTTCATGACTTTCTGTCTGTGCCTCTTGAGTGCTGGCCACAGACCTACCTGGTTTTTATATGTTTTTTTGTTGTTGAGATAGGGTCTCCTTGTTTGAGATAGGGTCTTCTTGTAGTCCCAGTTCTCCTCCTGTAGCCCCAGCTAACCTGGAACTCCCCATGTAGACTAGGGTGGACTTCAAGGATCTACTTGCCTCCACTTTCTGAGTGGGGATTAAAGTCATACATCACCATGCCCATTCTTATGTGGGTTTGGAGGATCTGAACTCTAGTCCTCATGCTTTCAGGGTAAGCACTTTGGCATCCCCCTCACCCTCAAATGGAGCTTTCTGTTATACTAAAATGACATTTGATTGGATCTTAAACTTAGACTCAACTAAGAATAGAAGCTCTAATTGGTCATGTTGGCTTATGCCTATAATCTAGCATTTGAGAGGCTGTTAGAAGGATCCCAAGTTCAAGGTCAGCCTGGACTACATAGGAAGACCATGCCTCCACAAAATGATGCTGCTTTATTTAAATCAGGATGAAAGGCCCACATTATTTGGGTAATGACCAATATTATGATTTACATATATATTTATTTTATTTATATGTGTGCCTGTGCCTGCATGCACATGTCACAGTGTATGTGTGTAGATCATAGAACAACCTGATGGAGTCAGTTCTCACCCACATGGTTCTGGGGATTGAACTTAGGTCATCAGGCTTGGTGGCAAGTACTTTACCTACTGAGCTCAAGGATCCACTAGTTTTTTAATGTGTTATTCCAGGTTTATAATTTACATGTCCTTCAATAAAATATTAATCAGTATAATAGAAAGTAAGATTTGGATTCATCTTTTGCAAAACTAAGTTTGACTTACATTGGAGCCAGAAGTTTTGATATACTATTATTCAGTAAGCTGACTGAATAGTTATGTGTTGGACATGGAGAGTCTCTGAGTCTGATGCCATTGTGGGGCTGTATAGTGAGTTATCAGACCAGCCATGGCTTTGTAGCAAGACTGTCTCAGAAAACTAAAGAACAAAACAAAATAAAGTTTAAAAGAATGACAAATATATTAGAAAGCTAGAATGGATTTTGCATGTTTTTATCATAAAGTAATGAGATATGTTTGACAAGATAGGTATGTTTAATCAGATTTAGACATCATACTATGTCATACTATGTTTGCATGTATCGATTTTTTCTTTTTTTTTTTTTTTGGAATTGAGGACTGAACCCAGGGCCCTGTGCTTGCTAGGCAAGCACTATACCACTGAGCTAAATCCCCAACCCCTGTTTGCATGTATTGAAAGGTCACATGGTATCCTTATTACTCTACACAAATTTCTTGTATTTCTGTACCAGTTTAAGAATAAAAATAAGGGCCAGGCATGGTGATGCATGCCTTTAATTCCAGCTCAGGTGGTGGTGGTAGTGGGAGGGGGGTTGGGGGTGGTG